TTTTCCAGATTCTCATGAACCCGTCATTGAAATATTTTGAAACCACACCTCCAGCAACCCACGGGGTCTAGAAGCAGCCATTTTGGATAGGTTACACATTGATTTCCAGTCAAATAATCCTAGCATCTGACACCTACATGATTTTTCTGCATTGTTTCATCGCTTTCGACGAGAAGCTGAGTGTTTCTGTCTGTGCCTCTGAAAAATTAGAGTTCTTTATTTAGTCAGACCTTTCGACCATAAGCATCATGCTCAAAATTGGAGTGTCCATGAATTCTCTCCCAACAGTGACTAGGCCCCCTTTCTCTTTCTTGGGAATTAGGAAGGTAAACGTACCTGAAAGACAAGATGATGGCTTTGTCATCGTTGCTGACTGCACTGAATCCTGTGCATTTGTCAACGATAGTGATATCACAGACAACCGATAGAAGGCGTTTCAGCTACAAGCAAATTGGAATAGTCCGAAATAATTTGAAGAAAAGCAATAGATCTATGGTACCGTGATATCCTTGCCAAGATTTGTAAGGCATAGCGAAGGATTGTTGGAATAGGCGGCAGCCGCGAGAGGGAGCATTTTTGAACGGGCAAAATTGTCATCGTAGAGTATTTGAGTGGCCGAGTTGGATACCACGTCGAATGGCATGGCCATCGCCAAGGGAAGAAGCAGACCCACCAGCACCAGCATTCTGTAATCGAAAAAGTACGGCCTATTGAAGAAGCTTAAGAAGCTTGTCATCGTCTCGCTTGAAGATTGTGCTGAATAGTTCTACTGCTGAATAGTTGAAACATACGCAACTAAAACATGCAGGGATGGTACGCCCTTCTATAAGGTTGTCGATAAATGGGCCTCTAGCGGGACGAACTGGAATAGGCTCTCCAGAAACGTAGATGATTCGGAACAGTCAAAAAACAGTGAACAAGAGTCCATTCCCGAGGTCCCACCTATGAGGTATGCCCAGTTTTCTGTATTTTGCAAGGCCTGCTGTTTTGGGAACAACATGAATACAAGCAGACATCCGATTCCGATGCCTACTACTGTCGCAGGTGGACTGCACCAAGGCGAAGATAAGTGCGCTAAACGACTCATTTCACTCATTTCGACGAAGGTGCTCTACCTCACTGTGATGAATATTGTGCTCAATATCTTGAAACTGAAATATTTGACAAGAGAGCTGCAGAAACTGCCAAGATGGTAGCAAAATCAAAAAAATCCAGAGAGAACAGGTATTTGCACATGTATCACGAGCTGAACAAATGGCCATGCAATTGCAGGAAATATTGGGTTTTTTTTAAGGAAATTCAAGTGTCGTGGTGATAGGATTTTCTGCCCGACTGATAGTAGAATGCTTCTGTGGCATTGATTGCGTAGGAATGTTCGAAATAAAGATAAGTCATGTTTCATTGTCTTAGCGAGGCTCGCGGCTTTTTTTCTTTCGACCATGTTTCTCAATGGTGCGCTTTGCTTGGAAAACTAGGAGGAAGCATCTTGGTCACATTGCCATCGCCAACATTCGGCCGCGCGCACAGTTTCCCGTCCATGCTTTCCCATCAAATCAGAGAAAGCACAAGCATATGTTTATTATATATTTGACTACATCAGTGAATACACAGATCAAGAACCATAAGACCATCCCTTTATTTCTGCAGCCGTTCTGCCGTAGTGAGAACGTTATCTCGAACGAGTAGCGTCGGATGGTCGTCCATAGAGGTGTGAATTAGTGGCCATGCTGAACAAGAAGTGCTTTCTCCCATTCGTAGCAAGCGTGCGTATGGGCGCGAATGCGCATTTCTTTTTTGTAGAAACGTGAATTAATGGCGTGAGATGTCGTCGAATTGCAACCTCATGGGTGCAATGCAGTTTTTACCGAATTAGGGTCAGATCGGATTATCGCTTATCGGAAACACAGGGTAAGTTCATATCGTCAAAACCCTGTCTGGAAGGGGTCAGGAGGCGTGGAGTGAGCCCGCTACCCACGTTTTATCCAAATGGTTGTTTAATTTTTACGAGTGGACCGGCCACTTTATGGAAATGTAGCCGCGGTGGTGTCATTCTCCATTGAAATGCCTTTCCTCCTAGCCAGGAAGTGACACCAATGTCTCAATACAGGTATTTCGATGTAAGAAGAAGCTGACTCTCGTTTAACACAGACGAAGGCCGCCTGCCAATAGAAAAGAATTACAGGTAGCGCTCTGCTCATCTGAGGGTCTAAAAGGTGAATAATATAGATGAACACTTCAAAATGAAACTTGTCAGATACCTCCGTTTTATGATGGTAATAGCCTTCCATGTTCTCCAATGGCAGATGTGGTATTATGTCGTGAGCATGTGTCACACGGAAAGTATAGGGAACCTGCAAAGAATACGGGTGAGAAGGGCGCAGAAAGTGGCGTGGCTCGGTTCTGAGAGGGAAGGCATTTTGCACTTTTGCTGCTTCGCATTTTCGTCTCGAGCACCTAGGACATGTTCGTTCAAGCCATGAAAAAAGTAGAAGTCAAAGCTTGTAGTAGAGAGCACTTGTCAACTCTTGCAAAGCACTGAACACGACGATGGGAACCAGCGAAAGTGCAAAATGCTTTTCCCCTCCCAAGCCAAACTCCCCAAGCCAAACTCTGCCCAAAAAGTGTCTCTTAGCTCACGGAACTCAGGGATCAACGGAATTTATGTCGCACATGGCATGGAGGATTCAAGGGACAGTACTGTGGAGATATTCCGTGATAAGTGGGAGGAAGCCCGTTCACAGACATAACCATCGTGAGAGGATGAATCCCCTCGGCATCGGCGATACTGAGATGTTGCCCTATTCCAACACTACACTCTGCGTAGGCGTGAAGTAACTGCCTGCCTGTCAAGTCCTTGTGGAGGTACCTGAAAATCGTCGCTCTGGTGCCTGCTCCTCGCACAACCTATATACAGTCCACGATTAGTCGCTCACGAACCATTCATGCCCCTCCCCTCCCCTCCCCTTAGAGATTCTCAAGCGTGCTGAAATCCCGTACAAAAAGGGTCCGGTGCTTTCCGGGGTATTCTGTGCGAGGTAGTGCTTTATGTAGGCAGAGTGACTCTTTGACCCCTGTTCCTTCTACACAGAAATGGTAAGGTATACAGTGAGGGATACTCACAGCGAGTCGCACTTCAGAGAATCTTCAAAGATGGGACTAGGTCGTACTAGCTCTGGGAAAATTTTTCACGACTGATGGCACATTTCTCCGATTCATAAACCGTCGTCAGAGGCAATCTTTGGGATATTCAGCAAGATAGTTGAGGAATGTTGGTGGCCTACTGGTAAGGGGGGCCGTAAAGGGGAAGGGGTATATTTAGAGAAAATTTCTACGGCACGCGCTCCAGGGATGCTAAACCCAGAGCGTTCTTTTTCTTCCTTTCGCATTTCTCGATCAACATTGAAGAATGAACTCTTTCAGCCGACTTTTCTTTATCTGGAGGAAATTCATGCGTTGCTCTTCAGCTCCATCTTGCAAACAAACCGAGGCGGTTTTAGCATCAAAATATGGAAATGGAAAAAAATTTTTCTGACAAACCTCCTTCTCTACAGAAGCGGCGTAATCCTTATCCCCAGTTCGAGGCTGCCCGAACGTCACCAGCTTGATCTAAAATACTTCCACTTCAAGGAGTTTGGGTGATGAATAACCCACAGAAGGAGACCTTGTTTGCTGCGAAAAGCTTGTTGTGGGCGATGTAAGAGGCGGCCAACGAAGCCATAGCTGCTCCAAGAGAATGGCCTGTTATCTGGGAAGAACATAACCTGCATTGGTTTTCTGATTGGTGTAATCGATTAAAATTGTTACCCAAAGCTCGTATCCGCTATGCTGGCTTTGCAATGTTGTCAAATCGTCTTTCATGCCATTCTTCCAGATTTTCAAGAAACCGTCGCTGAAGTATTTCGAAACCAAACCTCCAGCAACCCATGGAGTCTGAAGCACCGCTATTGGGGGTGGCATTTCCGGGGGCTTCTCCTAGTTTCTGAGACTCACGTGATTTTTCTGCATTGTTTCCTCGCTTTCCATGATCAGTTGACTATTCTTGTTTGTTCCTCTTGAAATGTATTACTTCAGTTTGTAACACTGTTAAACAAAAAGTAGCACAAAAATGGTCCCGTTTTGCTTGGTAGGGGCACCGAATGGTACATAGAGACCAAGGCCACCTTGTGGAGACCTGTTCCTGTCACCAATACGGATCACTCGAGCAATTTCGCATTTCGCAAGGGTTTACAGGACTTACCGAGGTGCAAACTGTTAATTGACATAAACTAGCAAAGGCAACTAGCGTGCCCCTCAAAGCCCCTCCAAGCCAAACAGCCACCAGTAGTGCTTATTCATCAGCAAAAACGTCAACGTAAGACAGGACTTGAACCCGCACCTCTCGCTTTTCGAGCGAGTGCGCTCCTCGTTACGCCACCAATGCCCTCTACCCTCTCAACATAGCTCAACTCTAATGGAATAACTTTCCGCGCGTTGAAGAGCAGTTATCAAATAAAACTACCAAACACTGTTGCGTAATACGAATGCCCCCTCGTAGGCTCAGTTCCTGATAGCAGCGAAATTACATCGATGTTAGGACATCTGTTGTCAGCGTACTGAGATGTCGAGAATTGCAGGCACAGTGACTGGCCTTGGGTAAAATTTTTTGCTTAATTTAACCCCCTCCCCAAACTTTCTCCTCCGATAAAACCTCCTTGAGGCCAGTCACTGAGGGGGAGGGACGGACCGGCCATTGGGCAAACTTATGCAAAATACGACCAGCCACTCAACACTTTCCCCTCTGCCACGCCCTCTTTCCCCCATGCTCCATCCTACCTACCATCTTATTAAGTTCTCATATTTTCTCAACTTCCTGCCGCTTCTCCGGTTTTTTCTTAGTTTTTCTCGGAAATTCCTCTCATTTTTCCCAAAAACTAGGTGTGGAGTGGGTGCGGGTGCAGTAGACGAATATGACCTTCTCCTCCGCCCTTCGGCCAAACACGGCCCACCTCGCTGAGGCTCCCAACGTGCGTGGGCCTATGGGATCAACTACCAGAACTGTTAGTTTTGGGCTGCGAACGATATGCAGCGGGAGTGAGCGGAAAATCAACTACCGGGAAAAAAGTTGTTCCTAGGCGAAGTACGACAATCTCTTCCTCCAGCGACAATCACCCCTCCCCACCCCGTTGGGTATCCCCAACGTCCGACGTGCTTTGATTGAAGGAGACGAGTGTGGTTCAAAAGAATGGGACAAATGAGAGGAAAGCGGCCGCAGGCATATTACAGACAGAAGAGCGCAGACAAATTTGCTGAATTCTTTAAAACTTTACTTATCCAAGAGATTAGTAAGTGAGCCTTACCTGAATGACAAGATGATGGCTTTGTCGTCCGTGCTCACTGCACTGTATCCTGTACATTTGTCAACGAGAGTGATATCACAGGTAACCGATGTGATGCTTTTCATCTTGAAATACCTTAATTAATTGAAGCCAGTGAAAGAAGAACGACAAATGTATGGTACCTTGACATCCTTGCCGAACTTTGAAAGGCATTGCTGAGGAGTATCGGAGT